TTAGATAGACTAACCTTACTTACCATTACTCCACACTGTTGGTTGATTGATTTTATGGCATGTGAATACTTGTTGTGTTAATGTTGCATTTTGTATGGGGCACTCAAACCCACTACTCAATAGTTATGATTATCCTTACTATTACTCTACACTGAAGTCCCTATAATCACTTCAGGTTTCTCATACAAAAATAAACCTCTTTGCATATACGAGGGTAAATCAAAAAGCAATTCCATGCAACACATATATTTCACTGATGAACAAATGCTTATGTTACTTTTTGACATGCTGGTGATTTACTTTTTGTATCATTCAATGAGCTTCTTCATCTCTTCTGAAAATAAGTTTTTCTCTTGCTCACAAAGCTACATCTAATCATGCTAAACCGACTCTCCCACAATTCCTCAAATAAAATGAAAACAGTGATGTTCTTATCAGGACAAATGAGTCTCTAAAACACCACCATTATTTTAGGAAAGAAACATTAGATTTTTATTATACAAGTCAATTTTTTCACAATAAAATTGATATTAATGAATCAATGTTAGTAAAATTCCCAGAATGTTATTGTCATCATCAATTCAATGACTGCATAAATCTAATCATATTCCTAGCTTCATCAGATCAAGACTTTCATTTAAATACCATGCATGGGGTCCAACCCATTCAGAATTAGTTGTATAAAACCACTTTCTAAGACCAATGATTGAAAATGGCTTCGAGTGAGTGAAGCCTGTGGGTCTTGGTGACAACCGCACTTCTTCAAACCTTGTGGACTGCTGTTACAGAATCACGAAGAACTGTACCAAATAGCAGAAACTGTATCAGTTGAGGACTTTTAACAGCAGCAACAACTAAAACGGATATCACATGTAACTTGAAGAGAGAATGACACCATCAAGATGTTGATATTCCACAAGATATCAAATAAAAGGTTAGGATGGAAACCCCCATCAATGCAATTTCCAATCCAGCCTTGACATACAATATGAGTTGTTTTGTAATGTATTTTCATTATATTTTGTGTTGGGTATTGTTTAATTTTGTCTGTACCATTGAATATCTGACTGAAACGAAAATGACGGCACCCGTTAGAAATCGGCCTCAGCTTCTTTATAGTCATTTATTTCCAATAAATGGCAATTTCTTATTTTTCCCCAAAACGGGCCAGCACAATCAGGCAGCAATGTTATAACTGCAGCAGTGAAAAGTTGTAAGAGTTTATATAACCTGAAACTGATATATTGATCATATAAATATATTCTGAAAACCATACCAATGTCAGTTGATTAATATTAGTTTTATTTAAATATTGACTTGCATAATAAAATCAGATGTCATATCAGAATCAAGTACAGTGACTGAAATGAGCTGAATAAAGTTATATGAAATGAGCTACTTTTTCTATGTGTTATATCCCTTCAATCCTTGCAATCCTGTCCTTTGTAGCTCTTAGTAAATTTTGTGTTTTGGCTATTGTTCCTAATCCCTGTTCTGCAAACCATTTACACAAGTTCATTAGTAAGTTTCTCATTGCTTTACTCTGTCCATCTTTACCTTCACTATGTCTTGTGAGTGATGAATTTTCTAAATAATATTCCCTCATTATATGTCCTAGAAATTTCAACTATCTGTTTCTGATTCTGGAGTATGTGTTCTTTTTGTTTCCATTTTCCTTAAAACTTTGTCATTGGTCACATGTTCAGTTTATGGTATTCTCAGCCTCCTTCTGTAGAACCACACTTTTTTTTGCCTCAAGTTTCTTTTCCATCTGTGAAGAGATTTTCCAGCATTCACTGCCATATAGGAGGGCCAATATTACATAACAGTTAAGTACTTTTTTTTTTTTTTTTTTTCTTTCTAGCAAAATTTTTCTATTTCATAATTCTTTGTTTAGCTGTCTTGTTCTCTCAATGCACCATTTGATTTCAATGTCACAATTTATATCACCCTGTTAAAATGCTTCCTAGACATTTAAATTTTTGTATTTGCCTGATTTTGGTGTCTCCAATTCGTAGTTTGCATCTTGGGCAGTTCTTTTTTCTGACAACGTGAAAATAGAATGCTTTCATTAGATGGAAGCATCAATGAAGATGAAACCAATTCCTTTAAATGCTTAAATAATGAAACAAATTCTGTTGTGGGGGTGGGGACAATAAACAGTGTTTTCTTTCTTGTAGCTGAAAAAAATAAAACGTTGTTCTCATGGAATATGCTTTTGAAGAATGTTGATAACATCCACAAAGGATAGAAACATCATCAAATGTACATGAACTATATCTGGTACAAAAGCATCTTTCAAGTGAAAAATATTCCTGTTTTTTTTTGTTTTTGTTTTTTTGTTCCTCAGAGTTCCAGTTTTGCTTTAAATACCAACTTCATTTGCCTCGATTAATTCTTGCAACAGATACGACTAAAAATCTCAAATAAAAGAAGTGTAGTATGTGATTTATACTAGAAATACCTGCAGTCTGAATTAAAATTGATGACCATCAGGAACCTTTTGATTTAAAAAGGATTGATCTGTGGTAACCCCCAATACATATTTGGTTTATCCTATGATACCAAAGTTTTGTACTTTGTGACACTTCAGAAAATCAAGACCTAGGGTCTTGAGGATGACTTAGAAAGCCACCAAATGCAGAATCAGGCCTTAAAAGGACATTGGTAGGTTCTTCATAAATAAGTAAGTGAACACAGATGAACTTAGAAGATATGTTTATATGCTCCCCAGAAGCTTCAAATGTCTGTTCCTGATGTTAAGTATTAGTTTCCTTTTTGTCTCAATTTTCTTCAAAACTTTGTTGTTACTCACATTTTCAGTCCACAGTATCCTCAGCATCTTTCTGTAGGACCACATTTCTGTTGCTTCAAATCTCTTTGAGATCATCCAGCACTCACTGCCATACAAGAGGATAGATATCACATAGCAGTTTAGTAGTATTTTTCTTGTTTCTAGTAAAATTTTCCTATTTGGACTTAGGACTCTGTTTAGATGTACTTAAAAATCTTGGATGTGCAGATGGATTTTGCATGGATAATGGCTCAGAATTGGAGAGCCAAGTTCCAATTTCAGTCAGGTTTGTTATATTCACTTACATACAAATACTCCTTGGGGAAGATATGAATCCACCTCTACTCCTATCAGCTATGAGTTAATTAGTAGGACTTAGATAGTATTAGTAAATCATTATTATCTTCAAAAAAAAATATTACCATCTAAAACATTTTCTGACTTTAAATAATGTGCAAAAGGTTGATAAACTATAAAAAGCAAATCAATAACAAATAATGATAATTATTAAAAAAGATATTCCAGCCACTTCTTTTATTCCAGCCATCCCATCTATTTGAAATTCAAGTGTAGCCTCAATATTTTTATGAAAATATAGAAATAGTATTAAAAGTTGCTAAGAATTTTAGCTCAAACATTAGTTGTTCTTGATGATTTCATTTCGGTTTCTATTTAAGACATTGAGCAACTTTCTTCTGGCCAGAATCCAATCAATAAAAAGTATCTCCATTTACCATTTTAAATATCTAGTATTTAAAATATTAGTAACTACAGAGGAAATTCTCCTGCTGTTCAGTCCAGGCTAAATACTAAGCTGCCCTAACTCCAAGCAATGCTTAAAGATATAAACAGATTTATCAAATGTTATGTGAAATTATACTGAGATTGCCATATCTGTCTGGAAGGTTGCTGACATTTCAATACCAGCATATATGATCTTTGGGAATCAATTGATAATGATGTTCAATAAGTCCATTCATTGATTCTTTGTTATTTTATATACCATGAACAGATAATCAAGTACAGTATTTACTTGCAAGACCAACTTGCAAAATATTTTTCTCTTTTTGGCATTTTTACTAAATGTATTCATTTGACAGATGAAAAAATTGTATCAAAGTCTTTCCCTTTAGTAATTTGAATATCTATTTTAATTGATTGGAGCTTTGCACATCTCTTAAGACAATTTAATAGCTGCTTAACTAGTGGGAATAGCAAGGGATTGTGAAAATAATTTTTTTTTTTTTTATTCATGAAGAATTTAGAGTGATCTTTTTTTAAATTATTATTTTTTAATATTTTGCTTCTGTCTATATTTCTGACATGAAGCATTGTAACTATTTACATTATTTACATAGTTCGGAATGTTGTCTTCATCTTTGTTGTCATATTCACAACATTTCAGCCGTTGTATTGCCTGGCCTTCTTCAGGTGATATATGTTGGAATTTTGAACTGAACCCTTTATTTAGTCCACTGGGGTAGATTTTTCTAGTTCCACCTGCCATGCTTTTCTGGATATCTCAGTTATTTCCCTTTAGTAACTCACCTCTCCAAGTTTTTGTTGACCTCTACTATGTCCAGGTATTGAACTCACAATTCTTTGGGTCAAGTGTCCTTAGACACATGGCCCAGTGGATAAAAGCATTGATTGAAGTAATCCAGTGACTTGATCCAAATAGTTGTGAGTTCAATACCTGGCCGCAATATTTTTGATTAATTCATTCATTCATTTTCTACAGCTTATCAACCTTTTGCAGGTTGTTTAAAGCCAGAATACATTTTTAGATTGTAAGAATTATTTATGAATAAAAATGACAATAGGAAAACTAGTAATTGCTGACGCGTTTCATCCAATGTGGACTTTATCAAAGTAATTCGTATTTTGCTTTGATAAAGTCCACATTGGACGAAACACGTCAGCAATTACCAGTTTTCCTATTTATTCATAAATATTGTCTTCTCTACTGGTTAAATCAGAGAAATTTTCATATTGTAAGAATTGTTTTTTTTTTTTTTTTTTTTTTTTAGATAATAAAAGTCTCACTAATTAACCCATAGCCGGGAGGAGAAGAGGTGGATTCATCCCTTTCCCAAGTGTATTTGTGCATAAGTTAAAATATAAATAATCTAAAAGGTATTGGAACTCAGATCTTCAATTAACAATTCCAAGCCATTATCCATTACACCACCTGCACATCCAAGCTTATAGCACCTAGTATCCCCAAATAGTCACCTTTCCAGGTACTGACCAGGCTTGACATTGCTTAACTTCGGTGATCATAAGGGAACTGGTGTTTCAACATGATGTAGCCATAAGCCTTATTAAAAATTTGATACATTAGACGTAACATACAGCCCAAAATTGGGGAAGGACTGTTTGTCATCTCTCATAGTTAGTTGACTTAGCTAGTTGCAATTTCTGATCCAAGCCTTTGATAAAAAATCCATTCACCAAAACATCACATTCTTACCATTGTCACAATAATACCACAATTTCTCACTGAAGTTCTAATCTCTTTTTTTCTTTTTTTCTTTTTTTTTTTTTTTTTTTAAACAAATCACCTCAAGAGTGCTACTAGCATGCAAGGGGTTACAGAGAGTAAGAGTAAAGAGAAGTATTTGAAAAAAGGATAAAGAGAAGGACAGGGATCATGGTCAAGGCATCAGAAGATGTCAATTGACATTACATTTGAATATTTGAAAATTATAGCTATCAGGGAAGCAAGTGATAGGAAAGGAGTTCCACTAACAGGAGGTGCGAGATAAGAAGCTGTTGGAGTAGAAGGAAGGCTACATTTAGCCGCTTTGACAGTAGAAGAGTGGGAGAGAGATGCAAACCTAGTAGCTCAGTTAAATTCATGCAGTTTGGGAACCAGTGAAAGTAGCTCGTTGGAACAGTTGCCATGAAAATACTTTTAGAAAAGACAGAGAGTTGGGGAATAAAAATAGCAAGTTTAACAAATTTAATTCTAATGTCTATTTTCAATGTGTTAAGAAATATTGTTTACAGAAAGCAAAGAATAAAACTGAGTAGTAGTTACAGACACTGTAGGCACAGTTTTCGCTTTGCACAAGGTCACAATAGCAACAGGTACTTTATGAACATGTCACTCATTAGCAACTCATTTTTGGGAATAATGGTGTATAATAATGTTATTTTATTTTACTAAAACACAGATTTTTGCATCTGGATTTTGTTTCATGGAATGTTTTGAACATTGTGAGTGAGTTAATTCAAACTCATTTCTTCATTTTTTTTTTTTTTTTTTTTGGACATGTGCACACTGGCCTTTCTCAGGTGTGTTTTGTGTCCTTGAAAATTGTTGAATGGAAACTGAAGGTGTATTCACTTCTTCTCTCTATGCCCTCCATTATTCATTCAGAAGCCTGAACATAGACATTAATATTTTGTGGGCATCATTAAAAATGAAAGAACTGAGAGGGTTAGTGAATTTATTGTAGAAGTCAAGAAAGGTAAATCTCAAAAACTCATACAGAGAAAAGCACCAGATATAATGTGCAAGAAGGAAAAAATATGCCCTACCAGAGCAAGATTTTATGATATTCCAGAACATCACAGATATTAGGGGAAGGTCAAAGGGCACACATTTGAAACATGGAAAGTAAAACAATGAAGTTGCCTGAACTAATCTACTTAGAATAATATTTCTTCTTTGTTAAAATGATAATAATTATAATTAAATTAATATCAATGTTGTAAGTAATTCCCACAACCTGCTCCCCCTTGTTTGGTATAATGGACGACTCCACATAAGCTTATAAATATACTAGCATAATTCTTTTTTTATAGCTGTATTAAAGTTGAATAAAGCTTACCAAAGTTTATTCACCTCTGATTATTCATTACAATTTATTCAACTTTAAATAATGGAACGATACCTCAAGCCTGACCGACTGGACCTCGATACTTCAGACCCTGACTCTAGTGACAAATGGCAACATTGGAGGGCTATGTTCGAGGGATTTATTTCGGAGCTGCAATCTTCTTCTACGTCGGCATTGACTGGCTCACAGAAATTAACCCTCTTATTACACCATGTTTCTACTCCCATTTATAAGTGCTTGACTGAGTGTCAAAATTACGATACTGCTATAAGCACTCTGTTCATTAAGAAGAAAAACTCCATTTTTGCACGATACTTGCTTGCTACTCGGCGTCAAGAGACTGAAGAATGTCTACAGCTGTATCTTCAAAACCTGAAAATATTAAGTCGCGACTGTGATTTTATTGCCCTGACAGCAAGCCAAGCTAGGGATATCTTAATAAGAGATGCATTCATCAGTGGAGTACGGTCTAACCAAATCAGACAACGGATGCTCGAAAACAAGGACTTGGATCTGGCTACCACCTACAAACTAGCCCTTACGTTGGACATGGCCCAGAAACAATCAGATCTCTATTCGCAACCTGATTTTTCAGGGGCTACTATTCCTGCCCATTCTTATTCTCAACAAATTCCCAGCTCAAATTCATAACATTGTGACCCCCAGGATAAGGATTCTTCAAATACTATTGAACAACCCTTTACTATCGCTTCAGATGAGATTAAGTGCTACTTCTGCGGCTTTCGTAAACATGCTCGTTCATCTTGCCCGGCTCGAAACAGTAGCTGTCATGAATGTGGCAAGCCGGGACATTTTTAAAGGTTTGTCGGTCGGCCCCTTTACAGAAAACCCGTTTAGCCGCCACCCTATCTCTATCTACCCGTATCGACTGCCTCCTAAATGCCTCTCTAAAACAATTGTGCGGCCAGAGTGAACGGACTAAATCTCCACGCCTCTTATTGATACGGGGAGTTCTGAAAATTTTATCGATGCACATATCGTGGAAACAAACAAATGGAAAATTTTTCCCTGTTCTAATCAAATATCAATGGCCACTTCGTCCTTATCCTGTTGTGTAATCGGATTCTGCATGGTTAACCTCGAGCTAAAAGAAAATTTCTATTCTAGAGTCAATTTGCTGGTAATGAGGAACCTCTGCTGTGAAGTAGTTCTAGGGCACAATTTCCTTAACCGACATTCTCACCTTACAATTCCGTTCGGTGGAACCAAACCAGAGCTGGAAATATGTGGATTAGCAACTGCAAAAGTCCAATATCCATCTCTATTCTCAAATCTAACCTCTGACTGTAAACCTATAGCCGTAAAATCCAGACGCTATTCGCTCAAAGACAAGGAATTTATTGCAATGGAAGTGAAGAGACTTCTTAAGGAAAATATTATAGAGCCCAGCAAATCGCCTTGGAGAGCCCAGGTCCTAATAACGACTAATGAGAACCATAAAAAGAGGATGGTTGTTGATTATTCCCAGACCATCAACAGATATACGCGACTTGATGCGTATCCGCTACCCCGTATTGACGAAATGGTTTCCAATATCACTAAGTATCGTATTTTCAGTACGTTGGACCTTAGGAGTGCCTACCATCAGATACCCATCAAGCCGGAGGAAAAACCTTATACGGCATTTGAAGCTTGTGGGTGTTTATACCAATTCCGTAGGATCCCTTTTGGGGTTACAAATGGGGTTACAAGTTTTCAAAGGGTAATAGATGAAATCATTTCTAAGGAGAAATTGAAGGGTACTGTGGCGTACATAGACAATGTCACTATTTGAGGTTATAACGAGGAAGATCATAACCACAACCTCAAATGATTCATGGCCGCCATAAATAAATATGACCTGACCCTTAATGAGGAAAAGTGTTCATATAATTTGAAAAGCATCAAGCTACTAGGGTACATAGTCAGAATGGTGCCATGAGACCGGGGCCCGACGACTTAAACCCCTAATGGAGTTACCAATTCCTGGAAATATAGCTGCATTCTGACGAGCCCTTGGCATGTTTGCCCATTATTCCCAATGGGTTGAGTCCTTTTCTGAAAAAATACATTTACTTACTCAAGTAAGAACTTTTCCTCTATCTGATTCAGCCATTAGAGCATTTCAAAATTTAAAAAGGGATATTGCTAATTCTGCCATTGCTGCCATTAATCCTTCAGCTCCACTAGTAGTTGAAACCAATGCATCTGATTCTGCAATAGCTGCCTCCTTAAGACAACATGGTCGGCCTGTAGCTTTTTTCTCTAGGACACTCTTGAAGTCTGAACGAAGGCATACTGCCATAGAAAAAGAAGCGTACGCCATAGTTGAAGCTTTACGAAAATGGAGGCATTATCTGATCGGCAGACAATTCCACCTTATCACTGACCAAAAATCGGTATCATTCATGTTTAACCGAAAAACCTCAAATAAAATAAAAAATGAGAAAATTGCAAGATGGCGGATGGAACTCTCCTGTTATTCATTTGACGTCTCCTATCGTCCTGGAAAGGAGAATGCTGCAGTTGATGCACTTTCAAGGGTGTGCAGTCTAACAACAAGATCATCTGATCTTCAGAGCATACACCGAGAATTGTGCCACCCAGGCATCACAAGAATGACACATGTAGTCTGGAGCAGGAATTTACCATATTCAGTTGAAGATGTAAAAAGAGTTACCAACTCTTGCCAAATATGTGCAGAAAATAAGCCGAGATTCTATAAGCCCCCTCAAGCAACACTCGTAAAGGCCACTCAGCCTTTCGAAAGGCTTAATCTGGATTTCAAGGGTCCACTACCTTCTAAAACTCCCAATAAATACATGCTTACCAGAATTGATTTAGTACTCAAGGTTCCCCTTTGTCATTCCATGCCCTGATGTAACGGCCACTACAGTTATTCAAGGCCTCTGTTCCCTTTTCGCAATTTTCAGAGTGCCTGCATACATTTATACAGACCGGGGATCTGCTTTTATGTCGGAAGACCTCAAGAATTTTTTGCATGAATGAAGAGTGACGGTAAGCTGAACCTCCCCTTACAACCCTCAAGGGAACGGGCTCTGTGAAAGATATAATGGAATAATATGGAAGACAGTTCAGTTGGCGTTGGCAAACCGGAAAATGCCGATCTCGAAATGAGAAAGTGTCATCCCCGAGGCTCTAAACGCTATCAGGACCCTACTGTGCACATCTACAAACACCACTCCACATGAGTTTTTTTTCCGTTCCAAAGACGAAGCTCAACAGGCACTTCCCTCCCCTCATGGCTTGCTCAACCTGGAATCGTTTTGCTGAAACATCATGTTCGTCATAGTAAACATGACCCCTTAGTCAGCAAAGTGAAACTAATTGAGGTGAACCCCCAATACGCCCGGATTGAAACTGCGGAGGGAAGACAGTCTCCTTAAGAGACCTCGCGCCGGCTGGAAATACACCTGAAGAGGCTACTGCGATGGAGAATCGCGAAA